AAAAAAAAAAAGAGAGAGAAAAAGGGATAAAAGAAACGGACAATACCGTTTATTCCGTACTTTCTGACCCCCGTGCAACATGTTTTATGATGATTATTGTCTGACTTGGAAGGGAATATCTGCGCGCACGGGGGTGGGGGGCACTTGGATGCTTTCCGTTCACTGAGTTAAAAATCACACAGCTCCACCCTTCTGGCTCCCCTCCTCCCCAACCCCAAATATTGTCATGAAGTGTCTGCATTTTTCTCCTTTTCGTGTTTATAGAGTCTTCCAAGACCTGTTTCCCCTTCCAGTCATCTCAAACCTCTTTATTTAAAAAAACAAAACTTCGCTGATACTGTGAAGAAAAACAGGAGGATGTAAATAGCACTCCAGCCCCCCCTTCCACATGATCATAATTTCGTGCTAAAAGAAATGACTCTCAGGTGTTTATTTGGGGGGAGGGTTAGGGTTTTTCCCCTTGTTCATTCCACAGAACTTTGCTGTGCTCCATTTCTTTATAGCAATGTTCAAGGCACTGCATGTGGGTGCCAACAAATTGGGGTGCTCTGAGGATGAATTCAGAAAAGTGTGATGGGACAGCAGATTTCTGGAAAGAGTGTCTTTCCAGTCTTTAATTTGAAGAAACTCAAGAGGTTTCCCTTTTCCTTTTAAGGAGGAGGAGGAAGAGGAGGAGGAGGAGGAGGTCTGTCTGGAATGTGTTGGCTCTTCTTGCTGTTTCCATTTTCCTTGTCTTTTGAAAAAGCCAGAAAATAAATTCCTAGTCAAAGTTGCCCGTCATGTTTGCAGCACTTTGCTGAGTGTTGCTGCTGTGATTGGGAGCTGTCCATCAGCAGGCAGAGAACTTGCAGTTTACTTAAGAAACTGCATGTGCGACAAAGGCAGCTGCCAGCAGTGTGGTGGTCTGTGTGAATAGAGGGAGGGAAGGCAATTAGGGGGCTGTGTGGCTGGGGCTTTTTACTTGTCAAACTGGAGGCTCATTGCTTTTGTTAGCGCCATGTAAAGGGAAATGGCAGGGTTTTGTTTTGGTATTAAGGGCCTTAAAGATTGCTGCCTGACACTTACACAGGAAGGCCAGATAAGTCCAGAAAGAGGGGCCATGGAGCAGTATTTTAAAAAAGAAAATCAAGAATTCTTACTTTTTTGTGATGTTTAAGCCCTTCCAGCCCTTGTTTTTGTTGCTAGGGTTTTTTTTGGGGGGGGGCAGGGGTTATTAACTTGGCCCATGTATTAACATCGCTTAAAGATCTACGTCATAAACAGTCCTGTGGGGTTGGAGATGGACGGTCCGCAGTCAGTGCAGTAAATTAAAACCACCTCCTTTATGTTAGGTGTCCTGCCGCCAGAAAAACCAAGTTTTGGCCACTGGTCTTGTTTCCGGAAGGACAGGTGTAAGATGTCTTCTTACCTGCGTGTAAATTGGAGCTGTCGCCTTTGGTTTTTGAAGTGGGTGAAATGACTTAACTCTTGGGGTGGGAAAAGACCAGAAAGGAATTGTGGATGAGTTTTGTCCTCGGGACTTCTGCTCTCTGGCTTAACCCCTCCTTGAGCAGCAGCCTCCCGCCCACCCCCCCTCGCTGCATGTAAAAGACGATTTCAGGCCTGTGATGTCTCAGGGTCTCAACTCAAATTAAGTTAAACCCACACGAATGTACCCAGCCCTGGATCCTATGAGAGCCCCGGGAAAAGTAAGTTGGGTTTATGGGATTCCCCCACGCATCCCTATCTCTGCCTTTGCCTCCCCTCTCCTCTCTCCTCCCTTCTTCTCCTCTGCTTTCCTCTTCCTCCTCCTTCTCCTCTCCCTGCTCTTTCTGGGGACAGCTCACAAAACTCATCAGCCAAGAAAGGAGTTGGTCAAAGGCCCGACTCTCTCGCAATGCCAGTGAGCGCACGCAGCCTGGTCGCTCCTGCTTCCAGGGAGGTCAGTTGAAAAACCTTTCAGGCAGAATCTCTCACTCTGGCAGGAAGAGAGGGTGCCTACGAGTTGCAGGCGAGGCCCTGCAAAGTGTCACTTCCGTGTCACTGTGACAAGAAAATATACTTTCCTCCTCCCTCCCCCTCTCCCATCGCAGCCCTTTCCCTAAGAAATTTGTTATGAGGGATTTGACAATCTTGCAGATAAAGTGCCTGCCTACCGCACCCGGTTGATCATTTCCCTCATGGCTGACCGTAATTTCTTTGCTACTCTTAGCGGCAGCTCTGTCCCTGCTGCCCAAGGTAACGGGTGAGGGAGGGGGACTTTTCTTAGGTGCCCTGAGCTGGCTGGGGAAAATGGGCCTTCCCCCTTCCTTCATGGATTCTGCCCTATTAAAGATTAGGAACTAGAAGGAGTTTAAAAATTTTTTTTTTTAAATCTGCAACCAGTTGAGTTAGATTATTGGTAGTTTTTTAAATTTTAAAAATTTCTTAGGGATGGGTATGCAGGGGGAAGAGTTAGCAAAGTAATTATAGGCAACATGAGTGGAGAACTTGGAGCATTTTGAGTGTATCTGGCCAGAAATCTGGAGCCTTCTCCATCTTTTAAGATGTTTTTTTCCAGCTCTTTCAGTGAGCGGTATAAAAGGAGGGGAAGCCGGGAGGAGAAAGAAAAGTGAGAAAAGCCAGGAGGGAGGGAAAAAAAAAAAAAAGCTGGCCCAGGCCCATCGTGAAGGTACAGGGAAAGTTTTTTCAGAGGTGGAGAGAAGGAAACCCGAGCTGTTATGTACCCCAGGGATGCACTTCTAGTGGGGATGGAGGATTTGAGTGGCAAGGGGGGCACAGTGGCCTCCGGGGTCTCTCTCTTGCAGCAGTTGGGCGGTTGGCACCTCAATTTGAATTGCTGGGTGAGTAGCGATGTGTGTGTGTGTGTGTGTGTGTGTGTGTGTGTGTGTGTGTGTGTGTATTGTGTCTGTGTGTAGTGTGTCTGTGTGTGTCGCCACACTCATGGTCTTTACCACTAAACTTATGCTTTCTTTTCTTTCTTAAATAAGTTTTTTTTTCCTTTAATTAAAAATAAATCCGATGGAGGTAGGGGGGCGGGGACAAGAATCCCTGGTCACCTCGGGCTGAGTCCTTTCCCTGTGTCCTTTTCACAGCACCTTTTTTTATGGAGAGGGAGAGAAAGGGTTAAAAAGAAGACGGGGAGGAGAGAGTCTGAGTTTCATGGCCCTCCTTCCACTCTGGCAGGCTGGAGTTTGGGAAGGGGTGGCAGGGCTCGGGATTTCTTCTAACACGTCGTTTTGTCCCCCCTTCACCCACCCGAGTGGGCTCCCCTGCAAGAGGGAGAAGGGGAAGCGGCCTGCCTCGTCGAGGGGCATGCTTTCGGAGAAGGTCTCACGCTCCCGGCTCTCACAGTGGCGGGGCTGCTGTCACGCTGAATGCCCACTTGCCGGGACGGTGTCGGGTTGTATTTATTTTCCATCTCCAATTGTAGACGTCGGCCTTGCCGGGTTCTGGTGATGCTGGTGGTGTCCGTATTTTCTGAACTTCATAAAACAGTGCGTTTGGGAGACCCGAGCACACGGCACTGCTGGACAGCTCGCTGTACTCTGGTGTCTGGGGAAGGAGGCGCTGCCCAGTCCAGGTTGGGAGTAAAGACGTCGTCGTCCTCTTCCACGGTCAAGTCAAATCATTTGCCTAAAGCAGGAAGGGAATTCTCTTTGATTTAGAGCCAGTTATTTTTATCATCTTTATGTGACTGATAAAAGTAGTAAAATTTTTGTTGTTGAACGTCCAAACAGAAATTTTTGCAGTGGTTGACCAATTCAGATCCACTTTTCGGGGGAGAAGGAATGAAATATATCACAGACTGGTGAGAATCCATCATGTTTTCAGAATTGTGAATTAAGCCCCACATGTCATATTAAACATTTTTTTTTAATATTTATTTTTTAGTTGGACACAATACCTTTATTTTATTTATTTATTTTTATGCGGTGCTGAGGATCGAACCCAGGGCCTCGCACGTGCTAGGCGAGCGCTCTACCGCTGAGCCTCAACCGCAGCCCATATTGAACATTTTTAAAGCCCAGAGTGGCAGGTGATTGAGTGCAAAGCAAGGACAGGTGTAAAGTCTTCCTCTCTGGTTGTGCTCAGCTTTCTAGTTCATTCTGAGTGCAGTGCAGACTGGTTACCGCGGATTTCACACCCAGCATCAGCCCATTTCAAGGTTTCCGAGGGGTCCTAGGCCCTTGTTTGGTGAAATGGCTTTGGGTTACTTACTAGCTGTCCTGCTGCTTTGGGAGGATAAATCTCCATTCTTGACATCTTCCGAGAAGGGAGTTGCTTTTTCAGTGGGTGAATTCCTGACTCCAGCGATACAGATATCATGATCTTTGTATTGTCACAACAGGCTGCTGCATCTGTGTTTTCTGGAAGCAACAGGGCCTCCCCTTGGTGGTTTGGAGTTGGTGGGGGGCCCGGCTGAGCTATGTAATGGAATTCTTTCCTTCTGCAGTGGAATGTGATGACATCCTGACATGCCCTGCAGATTACGTGCTTCTGCACACATTTGAGTATTCTTAAAAATTGAACTTTGCCTCGGTCATTCCCTCCTGACCTTGAACTTCCAACAACCACATTCGGCCCTGCTGACCTGTTGGCAACACTGTCATCATCCCGGAACACAGATGCCCTTTAACGGATGCCCGTATTTGGGGTCCTTACAGGCAGAATGCAGCAGTAGAGCACGGTTTACTGACCTCTTGCTGAGATCCCAGGATTTGGGCATTTGCACTTTTGGGGCCCATAAATGAAATATCTGTTCCTCCTCTAGGTTTACCTGCTCTTGTCTAGAGAGAAAATGTGCCTCATCTCTGAAGGAAATAGCTGTTTCTTGAGCTTGTGTCCGGCTCCACAGAGCAGGCATGATTTCCAAATACAGACTAAGATTGAAAAGTTAGGCCCGGGGTTCAGGAGAACAATAAAAGGCATTTTAGCAGCTGTTCTTACGTGTCAGTTGGGAAGGTAGTGTCGGATTCTGCTGAATACTGTTTTCCTGAACTCCCAGGATATAAGAACCCTTACCGGCTTAAAATTTCCTCTCAATCAAAATTGGTGATTTCCTTCCATCATACTTAGGAATCTCTAGGTTTGGGGTTGTTGTGTTTGCTGTAGGGTGGCTGACTGGAAATCATTATTATTTTTAAAAGTCGTTTCAGATTTGGGCTTTTGGAGTGCTTCATTTGGAATAGGTTAGGTTTATCCCTGGTTCTGTTTTGAAAATCAGATCTCCTAGAAACAGCTGTACCCTCTTACCCAGTTCCCAAACATTTTCTGCAAACCCGGATGCTCAACAAGATTGATTATGCTAACACTAATCATTTAATACCCAAGTAGTAGAGAAATATTTGGAGGGAGGGAGGAGGTTGCAAATTCCTGGGAAATTACTTATGGGTGAAGTGGCTGGTCCTTCATCGCCATGGCCTGGTAGAGGATTAGGACAGTCAGTGGACCCTGTGGTGCACCCTCTTGCTGACCTCTGGGTTGCAAAGTTTGGTGCAGAGGTATGTCACTGGAGAGAGGCCGGCAGGAAGGAAGCTCTGGAAACCGGCTGGCCAGGGGTGAAACTGGACCAGCGGGCCTAGACTTAAGCTCACAAGTGTTTTAAGAGTTAGTTGGGGGAAGGCACAATGGGATGCTTTCTTTTTATTGGAAAATAAATGAGAATGAGTGGAAATAAATTATGTTTAATGAACTTAACTGGAAGTAATTGTTCAAGAGCCTGTGAAAGCACAGCTTGGCTGGTTGGCCCTTGGCTGCCGTCTGCACAGAGCTGAGCAGCTGGAGCACATCTTCCGGATTTGAATGCCCCCCTCATGTGCCCACCCCGACACCTCCAGCCCTGTTCCACTGCTGTCCACCTCCCCAGTGAGAATTTGGGAAAGGTCGTTAAGAGGAGCTGAACTTGACCTTCTAGGCCCTCATCGCTTGGTGGTCTGCTTGGCATGTGCCCAGCTGGGTGACCGTATTTTAGAAGCCCCTGCCCCCAACCCAGGGACTTAAGATGGTTCGAGTTAGTTCTCTGTATATGCGTGTGCGTGAGAATGTGGATGAAAACCGACTACCCGTTTATCCTCTCCTGCCTGCCTGTTCAGTCATTTCCTCCGGAGGAGACTGTTACTGCCTCTGTGAATCCCTGAGAAACTATGAGCCTGCAGAATTTCCCAAATGGCAGGGAGAGTTTGCACCCTTCCTCTTCTTGCTGTTGGAATGGATTTGATCCAGAGGGGCGGGGGAGCCAGCCATAGATAATATAAAAACCAAATAGGCAGCACCTTCCTGGCAGGCCCCTGGGTGGTGAAGATGGAGCCATGTGGCCTGGACTGGTGGGCACTGTCTGCGGCACCTGGTGGCCAGAGTTGCAGGCGGAGCGCTGCCGCGGCAGGGGAACATTTCATTTCTGCAGCTCTTCTCTTCCCACCTTGTTTCTTTAAGTAAAAACTCAAACCTGGAGAAAGCTTTCCTGTTATATATTATTTTCAACAGTAGCTATCAATAGACATTTTGTCATTAAAAAAAAAAAAAGCCCCATTAGCTGAAGCTGTATGTGTTGGGGGCGAGGAGACCCTGCCCTGGAGCAGAGAGGAATGGGATGGAGGAGGCAGCCCTGTTGAGAGGAAGCCCACCTGGGGCCCGGAGGGAGCCCCTGCCAGCCTTTGCCTCTGTCCATGGAGCAGGCGTGTTGGGAGTGTTGGGCGGGTGGAGACCTATGCTGGCCTCCTACAGGTTGCTTGCCTCCCCCCCTGCGGTGCTTCCAGTGGCCAAGGGGGTTGCCCAGCATTGGGGGACCCCTTGCTGGGTAGGAGGGCCACCTTGGCTGACTGTCGCACCACCCACTGTTGCAGAGCCTGGCCAAAGCAGGACGGGTCGCATCACCAGAGGGCTGTGGATGACTGAGAAGCAGCACCCCTCCTCAGTCACCCCAGCCCCTCCTCCTCCCCAGCCTCTGTGGCCGCAGTGACGTGAGACGTCTATTAACGTTTTACTAGTCGCCATTGGCCTCCGTGCTGCCATAATAGACGGCATCTGGAAAAACACACGGATAAACTATAAACCCATTTTTTATGTAAACCCGGAGCGAGTGGTGGCCCTTCCCAAAGCCCTTACCAGCCCCTCGTGATTTAAGACCACTGAAGACCTTCCGTATCCACCCGAGGAGGGCAAGAGGCTGACAAATGCTCCTCTGTGTGGCTTTTGTTTTATTGTGCTGGGCTCCAAGGCACTCTCTGGCCCCATTTTTCTTCTGCAGAAAGAGAGAGCCAGGGGGTGGGGTGCTGAGGAGGAGGCCGGTGGAGAGACCCGCTAGCAATGGCTCTATTTGTTTTCAGTGTCCGTTGATTAATAGGTTGCAGAGGTGAAAGGCAAGCTTTCATTCCCTTCAGGTTGCCCCTAGTTATGGGAGGTTGAGGGGCTGGGGTTAGAGGGGGCTGGCAGAGGGATGGGGAAGGGCCTTAATCAATCTTTTACTTGCCAAGTCCCAATTTATGAGTAGCATTTGGCGGGTGTGTGGGCGCTGGGCGATGAGGGTGGCATGGCCAAGTTGCAGAACACGACACTTAAGGGTTCTCAAAAGGCCAAAGGTCAGCCATAGGGGCTGCCCCTCCCACTCCCCCCCACTGTAGTTCTGTGAATACTCCAGTCGAAAGGCTTTGTGTGCTTTGAGGGCCGTTAAAGGACCTTTTCTTTATGATTTAACTATTCAATGCTCAAAACCCAGGGAACTTAATGAACAGAGCAGGGGAGGGCTTTGCTTTGGAAATAGCAGTTTCTCCAGGTAGAAAGCAGAAAGCCCTACTAATTTGAAGTCAGGTGAGGATTTGGGGCTTCTTTTAAATAGATATTG